GCGTGGAGGGTGTGACAGGGGGCATTATCCATAGGAGGAGTCTAAGGTGTGTGTGTGTGTGTGTGTAGAGTGGTGGGTATGACAGAGGGGGCAGTATTTGTAGAATTGTGGAGAGTATAGCCGCAGACATTATTTGCAAGAAAAGATTGCTGATTGCCTGATGGAAGCCAATATGTGGAGTGCGATCTGCCTGTCCAAGATAGGCAGATCGTACGTTTTTTTAATCCCTTTACAACCATCGCAAGACTAAAGTCTTGCGATGGTTGTAGAGTGTATGACCACCTTTACTGAGGACAGCACACTCTGTGTGCTAGCGGATGGATCTTCCTAAAGGAAAACCGATCTGTGTGCTAGAGTATGGATCTTACTGGGGAAAGACTAATCTGTGTACTGGAGGATTTCACTGACAAAGGACCAGTCTGTGTGCTGGAGGTTTGATGTCACGGAGGGATTTGCAGAGTGGTAAAGTGACAGTAGAACTTAAAAATAATATAACATAGAAAATGATATACAGCATCTATCTGTGCAGTACTCCGGCAGGAAACAACTCCTGCAATTTGCCTCTATGCAGGAGCTTCACATAATAAAGACCAGTCATGCTGTTATCTCTCCTTTAGCAGGATGTCTGTTCTTCTGTCGGCTCCCTCTGTAGTTTCCTGCAGGCAGCCTGTAGCAGGAAGATCTGCTGGGTCCCTCTCACAACTCTGCTTTCTGTGCAGGCTACACACAGGATAGTGATGATGTCACTACTACATTTACAAGGTGATATCTGGGTTTGAAAAAGCATTGGTTGAATTACAAAAAAAAACTGGCTTATGTATTTTAATTATATTTCTGTGCCCAGAGTTCAACTTTGTACTCCCCCATGAAATAAGAGTATCATAAGAATGTGTGCTGAGGTCATCATCCAGACCTGTGTGCTTAGGTCATCATCCAGACCTGAATCATAAAAGCTGTTAATGACCGCTATATAAGCATATTAAGTTGGTGTATTTGTAAGACGAGACTTCCAAATTAAAAAACGCAGGTAATTCCCCTAATAACAAACGTATGAACCTTTATTGATCATTATCTTTATTTGTTATATCATGGACCATTTAAATGCGTATACCTGGTTACTCTAGGACTGATCAACCTTTAGCTCCAGCCTCCCCTCAACCCCCATACTCTGCAAAAGCTGTAATAAAAGGTTTTGTAGTTTACTAGAGTAGAGATATGTCCTGTTGCACTTACCGATTCCAAAGAATAAACCTGTAAGATCAGGCGGGTGCTTGACATGACCACGGGTGGGACAGTGAATGTCACAGAGTCGAGAAACGTCACCAGCACACCATTAAAAACGTGAAAAAAAATCAATTTAATGACATGCACTTATCATTCAAATGCAAGTGTGCGTCATTAAATTGATTTTTTTTCACGTTTAAAATGGTGCTGGTGACATTTCTGGACTTATTATAGTAGGTTTCATTCAAATGAAACTATTTAAAATATATATTTTTGCTGTTTGCAACTCTATATGGGAAGATTTCATCTCACTTCCTGAGAGGCATAACACAACACAGTGCCACCTGCTGGTATAACTTTATACCAAAAGTATAAAAATAATCAAAGAAAAGTCACCTTTTCTTTGATAAGCTCCAATGAATATTCACTTCAAGATATGTAAACATGTTATTTTAAAGATGCATCAATTAAGTAAATATTACTGAAGCTTACCAATAAATGATGTTTCCTTCTTCCATAGGGTGATAACCCTCAATCACTGCACCCCCCTTTTGTGATTATGGAACATGTATAATGAAATGCTTCCTTATTTGTTCCAAAAGGGAACAAATAAATTCAGTGTAAGGCTGGGCACACACCTTACAACCATCGCAAGACTTTTGTCTTGTGATGGTTGTAAGGTACTTAAAAAAAAAAAAAAACGTACGATCTGCCTATCTTGCATAGGACAGATCGTACTTGCGTTGATTGCAAGCCACGCCCCCTGAGGGGCGGACTTCCGATGACCGCAATGCCGAACGGCTTTTATCTTACGAAAATGCTACAGACGATGCTCGGCGAGTTTTCGAACATGGCCGTAAGTTAAAAGTCGTGCGACCTTGCAGTAGTAGAGGTCGCGCGGCTTCCACACACCTTACGATAATCGTACGATCGCGGGATTTCCCGCGATTATCGTAAGGTGTGTGGGGACCTTAAGGGTTTACAAAACACATAAAAACATGTTTGCCTTTTTGGGGGGGAGGGTTGTGTCTGTGTCCCATTGGAGATTTCCTTTCGCTTTCTGTCCAAGACACAACACAGAGGTCACCAGGACAGAGAGGGTTAATCTCCCCAGCAGGGATACAGGTACCAATAAAAATCAGACCGGGGTTTTAGTACTTCCACACACAATCCACAGCCCCACCAAATTGGTTTGCCTTTAGGTATGCTTTAATGTGAAGCTTTAATGTGAAGCTTTATGAACACATGAATTGACAGAAATACACGTCATTGCTGGTCTTCTTCTGGAAATACTATTGGTCAGTAGGCCAGTAAGGGAGGTGCACCACACACTGGTGATCGGCAAGAGAGGTGTCATTTATACTAATGGTTAGGAGCAAATGTGATCTTTACACTTGCAGCCAATGGCATAGGTGACCCTCATACTGATGATCAGCAGGAGAGGTGTCCTTTATACTAATGGTTAGGAGCAGAGGTGCCAGTCGCACTGGTGATCAGGAGAGGTGCCTTTTACACTAGTGGTCAGTGGCACAAGTACCCCTCACACTGGGTGGGTCATTAGGAGAGGTGCCCTTTACACTAGTGGTCAATGGCAAGGTCAATGGCAAGGGTGCCCATCACACTGGGGATCAGCAGGAGAGGTGCCCTTTACACTAACAGTTAGAAGCAGAGGTGCCCTTTACACAAGTGGTCAATGGCAAGGGTGCCGCTCACACTGGGGATCAGCATGAGAGGTGCCCTTTATCTTAATGGTTAGGAGCAGAGGTGCCCCACACACTGCTGGACAGCAGGAGGAAGAAAGTCGCTACATTGGAAGTCTGTAGTAGAAATGTCCTTTATTTGGTGATTGGGAAGAATGACCCCTCACAGACAACAGTGGTTCTGATCCGAGAGACTAGACAAGAGGTTCAACTGGCCCCACACAGCCGAGCAACACCTTTATTACCTTGCAAGAACCATCATGTGGTAGTCACCCGGCCAGCGCACAAGGAACCCCTAGCACCCCTCGGAGGAAGCCCAGAGTTCCACAGAACCCTTCTCAAGTCAAGTCTAGGCCAACACATACTGTGCATGGTCTTAGAAATGTATGTTGAAAAAATACACAGGGGGGGGGGGAAAAAAGGAAATCTGCATTTGTAACATTTATTTTAGGAAATACATTTTAAAACACATCTTTATTATTTATACAAAAAGGACTAGTTTATCATAATGCATATAAATCAAATAAAAGGCCACTTTAGGAAATCTGGGAATTTAAGCCCTAAAACAAAACAAACAAAAAAAGAAAGAAAACAAACAAATAACAAGCATTACAAAAATGAAAACACATGAACTTTTCCTCTTAACAAAGGACAGTACAATAACATCACAGACAGGTTGGCAACTTTTCAAGTGCATGGAGCTTCCTGTCTCTTCATACCTTAATCCTTAGCATGTGAAATATATATATAAATCTTTTGGATGATATAGTTTTTTATTTGCTAAAACATAGCAACTCGACAAGTACATGATTTTTTTTTTTCCTATTATTATTTTTACATTTTAATGGAGCGCAGCTTAGCAAGTGGAAGGATTTTTTTTAGAAGGGTAAATCAGAGATTAATAATAGGACAATTCACAAATGAAAGGACGACAGGTATACTTAGAAGAAAAAAAATAAGATAAATACACAGACACGCTTAATCTTCCTGCCTGGAAGGGAGCACATTAGTTTTCCACCCATGGAGTCAAATACATAGACTGGTTGCTTCTAGTACTGGAGAAATTGTGAACATTGATTGAAATCGGATTTAAAGTGCAAGTCTAGCAGAAAAAAAAATATGAAGTACACATCTGCAATACATGCACTTTATCCCTTTAAAAAGTGTTGCAAGTAAAGATCTGTTGATCTGCCAGTGAGCTCCTAAAGTTCCTCTAGTGAACTGACAACACTGCTTCTGCTACGCTGAAATTCCAAACAGTGTTGTCAGCCCTGCCCAATTCTTTTCGGGTTGGACCCCATCTCTATCTAGCATAAAGGGGAGGTCTTCTGCAGCACAAGCAGAGAACTAGGCAGGACAATAATGCTGTTTAGAATCCACTGCAGCAGAGGTAGTGTTATCAGATTGCTAAAGAGCTCACTGGATTTCTTCAGGATCACTACAGGTATTTTTCGGTCCCTGCAATGTTTTAAAGCGATAAAATAGGGAAATGTGCATGCATTGCAGATATGTGCTGTCTTTTTTTTTTTTATGTTCCCAGACGGGCACAATAAATCTATAATGAGTGATAAATTACATAAGTGGCAATAAAGAAAAAAAGAGGACGTGTGAAAAATATTGGAGGGACCATGGAAAAAAATAAACCTCAGAGATAAATAATGAAAAGGTCAAAATTTGTCATCAAAAATAAAAATTGGTCTGCTAGGAAGGAAGGGGGCAGTTCAACAATTTGATGGAAGGGGAAGAACTGCAAGGAATGCGATCAAACCAGAAGGGTGAAGGGAACGACTGACAGATAAGATTCTCTGAAAATGTCAAAACAAAGCATTTTGGTTTTCTTTATTTAAAAAAAAAAATAATGAAACTTCCTTTATCCATTTTACAATCTCATCCGCTTACCATCTACTTTCACAGCAGTAAGAAATACCAACCCCAGCCCGCCATCCATAGATGAAATGCACTTTAACATTCACATTCTTTCATTTGACTTTCGGCACTTAAGAATTAAACAAATGTGTCTATAGGACATTCTTTCTAGGAATACTTTGCTCTGAGCTCCACACTGATAGAATGAAAATGAGAGAGCCACCTGTACTTACAATGCGCTATATCTCTATACAGTTCACGGTCACCTAAAAGTAGCAATGAGAAAGATACTGCGGAATGGAACAAGGCAGTAACGTGGCTCCCACTAGTAGGAAAAACAAAAAGTGAATGCGGATGTTTACAGTTCCCCTCTCAGTCTAATGACTGCCATGATACCTTCTCCCTTTTATGGCACAAACTTGCAGATCATGGCCCAGCCAGACCTGGGGACCCTGAAAATTAATGGGCTAACCTTCCTGTACTTTCTCCTCATTATTTCTCACGCACAAGGTCACAGGAGCTGAACACACAGAAACTGAAAGACAGGATGATGGTGATGGAGGGTGTACGGTCCCAGGATTACATCTCGTTGGAGGAGTAGTCTTTTTCCGATGTGCCGTTGGAGAGCATGTTGCCTTCTTGAAGCCTCTTGACGCGGTATGCTTCAAAGTGAATACTGCTTGTTATGTCTTTGATGTTTTGCATGTGCGTCCTGCGTGAGATAAGTAGACAATGGAATTGAGTATAGCAAGGCTTTGGATTGACACATTTAAATGTGACCTTTTGTCAGAATAATGATCAAACCTAAACCCAAAAATACTATTTTTTTTAATCCTTTTATTTTTTATAATATGACTGTATTTGACAATTACAATGTTAAACTAATGCATACTGCTACTGAAAAAGAGAAAGACAGTCTTACTGGATTGGAGAGCATATATCAGTGTTTCTCAGGCAGTGTGCTGTGCCACCTGAGGCTACTAGGGGTGCTGCGGGACAATGAAAACAAAAATTATGAGGTGCTAGTAAGCACCCGACTAAATCATAGCAACGGGTGATGCATTTGCCACTATTGATGCTGTGGGAGCCTTGGCGGCAATGGCTATGGTTACGCCACTAGTGCTCTCATATTCCATTTTCTGCTGGAGGAATCCGCTTTAGACTAGTAACTAAAGAACAAAGGCCCACAAGTCATTAATGCAACCATGATATTGCAAGGCAGAAGAGAAGTATGTCTGACGTTACCACAGGGAGGAAGGAAGTAGCTGGTGTAAGGCCACAAATTGCAGATTACAGCTACAGAGGATGTGCACGTGCAAAAGAGAGACAATAATGCTAACATGACAATCATCCGTTCTCTTAGTAGTGTACAATATAAATACATCATTATGCTGTATAAATCATCATCACATACTATAAACCTCTGGTGGTATTTCCTTTATTAGGCTCATGAAATACTGGCGCCTCTAGATATAATGCAATAAACTGTGGCTACACACTGTGGGCTGACTCACCTTATCAGAAGATCTCGCAAGTGAGCAAATTCACAATGACCAACGTTTTCCACTGCAAGAAAAAAAAGACAAAAAATGTGAGCAATGAAACATATATGCAGGCCAATGCTTGTTTCACCAGCTCATTCCAGCCCTTCATAAGGCCACGTATAACATGCTGTATGTTATTAGGGAAAAGCCAGACAAAAGTAGAACTAAAGGCAAAACCTCTCTTTTTTTTTTTAACTGGCTATACACTGGTGGATTTTCACATCAATGTCCATACAACAAACAACAACAAATCTAATTGGAGCAGGCAATAATACCATGAAGGTTGATCTAAATAGCTCTGTATTATAAACATATAACTAATTGTCCTAGTAGCCTTGTCTCATAGCTCTGGTCCTCCATTCCCCTAACCAAACTAATTAGAGGAATGGAGGACCAGAGCTATGAGACAATGCTACTAAATTTAAACATGTTCACGTTGGAAGTAAGGAGATTAAGGGGGGACATGATTAACTCCGTAACAAAGACTAGAGGCCACCACCTAAAATTGGTGGAAAAGCACAAGGGGCGAAGGGGGTTCTTCACAGTTAGAGCGGTTAGGGTCTGGAACTCCCTGCCAGAGGCAGTGATCCCAGCTAAGAATGTGGAATCATTCAAGAAGCTTTTGGACGATTTCCTGAGAAACCATAACATACAGGGGTACAGGTACACTTAAGAATGAACTGATGCAAGGACCTATGCATATGTGTGTGTATATATATATATATATATATACCGTATTTTTCGCTCTATAAGAC